CGGCCTGAGCGGGTCCCCCTGCCCTGCGGCAGGCGGAGGAGTTCCACAGCCTCGTGCACGCCTTCCTGGCGCGCCTGGCCGAGGCAGAGACCACCCTCAAGTACGGCGTCTTCCCCGAGGAGGAGGCAGCCGTGCAGGAGTGCCAGCACCAGCTGCAGGTCAGTGCCCGGCCTGACCTCGCACCGAGCTGTCTCACAGCCCTGGGGCATGAGCGAGCCCCTGCTGCAGCGTGTGTGGGGTCGCGGTGTGCCTGGGGTCGCAGCAGGCTCAGCATCGTGGTGTGCAGGGCATTGCAGCATGCGTGGTGGTATGGTGTGCATGGTGTTGTGAGGTGCATGGTGTCTCCGTGTGCATGGTGTCTCGGTGTGTGTGGTATTGTGGTGTAAATTGTGTCACAGCATGCACAGCATCACGGTGTGCGTGGCATCACGGTGTGTGTGCTGTTGTGGTGTACATGGTGTCACAGCATGCACAGCATCACGGTGTGTGTGGTGTTGTGGTGTGCGTGGTGTTGCAGTGTACACGATATCACAGCATCATGGTGTGCGCCGCTCCGTAGGAACCTCCTGTCCCCTACCCCAAGGAACGCTCCTTGCCCCCTTCTCCTTTAGCCCCCTCCCCTGCTGTCCCGGCCCACATTATGCAACCAGTCCCACCATGGGGCTCCCCACTCCACATGGGGCTGTCCCCACGGGCCCCTTGGCAGGCGCGGGGCCGGTGGGCTGCAGGGCTGTGACCCCCGCTGCAAACACGGTGCCCACAGGAGCTGCGGCAGTCGCTGCAGTGCCAGCAGTTGGAGCTGGAGTGCATCAGCTCGCTGGGCGAGGAGATCCTGGCCGCCTGCCACCCCGATGCCATCGTCACCATCAAGTCTTGGGTCACTGTGGCCAAGAGCCGCTTCCAGGAGGTGAGCTCCCGGCCCAGTGCTCCCATCCTGCACTCTCATCCCAGTGCCTTCACAGAGCAGAGGGACCTTAGCCCATCCTTGTGCCCTTGCACCCTCCCTGTCCTCCCCTGCTGCCACCCAAATGTCGTCTCTGGTGCAGGGGCCACTGGTGTCCTCTCCTGCTCAGCTGGCAGCTCCTTCCTTCTTCCCGATGTGGGCAGTATCCCTGGGGGGAAGCACACGGGAATTCCCCCAGCTCTGAGGCTGCATTCCCGGCTCTCCCTGAGCAGTGGCACAGCATTCCCGGCTCTGCCCAAACGAGTCCAACGGGTCCCAGCGGATCCCTCGTCCTTGTCTGCACAAAGCAATCGCTGTGCAGATCATTGTGTGTCTAATCGGCACTGGGATCTCTGGAGCGGCGCGGAGCCACCGGAGCTGCTTCCAGCGCTCCGCGCCCGCTGCACGTCTGCAGCCCTGCGGTCCTGGCACCATCACGTCCTCGTTTGCGTCCTGCGTGCGGCCCTGTGCCCATCCGGGTCCGCGTTGCCGTCCCGTGCACGGCGTGTGCCCAGTGCTGTCCCGTGCCATCCACTTTGTCCCTCCCAGGTGCTGAGCTGGGCACAGCAGCAGGGCGAGCGGCTGCAGGGGCAGGGGGCCCGCCCCGC